GGGTACGTTGCAATAGTCCTTCGGATATGGTGAAAGGCATTTTTTTGTGAAGAATAACAGGAGGTGGCAGACTGTTAGTCGCCTCGGAATCCACATCATTATTTCTTCACTTACACAGGGCTTCAATTCATTTTTTTTTAAAAATTAAAAAAAAAAGAATAACCCAATTGTACTCGGATGTGGATTTGCGATCACTTCTCACCGAGGGATTTCATTGCACCTGAACCGGTGTGGCTGACAATCATTGAGGAGGATCTGGATTATCTGAGCCCTCGTATATTATCACTCTGCGTTCAAAGGAGCTGCTTTATTATTATTATCATTATTATTATTATTATTCCACTCGCTCAAGACACATTTTTTTGAAAAAAAACCTCCATTGGATAATAGATGGAGAGAAAAAAAGAACTGCTGTTATGATTTTAATTCCATGCTGTCACCCACACTTTTGATTCTTAACTGACATGTGTAACTAAACAATCTCTGTAACCATAACAATAAACTATTATGGCACAGAGCTGCTTATATTCAAATGGTAACAACAGCTGAAAGCTATTCAGGTCTATTCGGTTTCAAAACCTTGCCCCCCCCCCCCCCCCCCTCCACCCCACCCACATACACAACTGAAATGAAACGCTTACAATCCAAGCTGAAATGTCATGGCAAAATTTGCAAGAAACAACCCCCCCCCCAAAAAAAAACAACAACAACACGCTGCGCGGTGGGAGGAAAATGCAATTCTCAGTTACATCTTATTTAATGGCAAAAGTAAGCTATCGGGTATTAACTGTGAAACCATCTCTTATGATTAATGCGACAGGGGGAGGGGTGGGGGGGGGCTGGGGGGGTGAAGGGGGGACATATTAGAATGGTAATAAAAACGCCAGTAGTCTGATTGGGATCTGGAGTTAGATACGTTTACACCGATCCTCTTGTATTCACTCCGAGGAAACTCCAGTTTAAGGTTTCACTCGCTAAAGAGTCCCTACAGGAGCCCAACAACTTGTTTTTGGAGGGGTGGGGTGGGGGGGGGGGGGGGGGGGAAGAAATCTGCCGGTTGAACGGATAAATGAAAGGCATCACATTACTGTAACAAAAAAAAAACCCCACACACATTTCTTCACGAGTAACAACGCCCTGGTGAACGTTAGCAACACGTTTACGCCTCTGCGAGGACAGGCGGGCGAGAGGCAGAAGCTATGAACACGTCAAGTTACCGTCATTAGTTTATTAGAATTAATATTATTATTTAGTGAAGTGGCGTGATAATCCCCCGATGCTAAAACCTTGCGCTTGACTGATTCCCTCATCTGTTGAGTGCAATGTGGGTGATGGAAATCAATGTATCTGCTGCAGGCCAGGCTAATGGATTAGAATTAGTCTATAGTGTAGACTGTTCGATAGGCTGGGGGATGGTGATAGCCGAGATGGGATATAATTGTGTGGCTCCACTTTATCCATAACAGGTTGTCCATAATCCAAATAAAGTAATCATCACCAGCGTGGAAAGTTCCGGCAGCGTTTTTTTTCTCTCTCTCTCTCTCTCTCTCCCCACCTCCCCCCTTGTAACGAGAAGGGTCTCACATGTACAAATTAATGAAGACATTCAGTGAGTGAAACAGGAACTAATTTGGCAAATTGTTCTTTCATCATCTGTCAGAGGCTTGTGGAATAAAACAACACAGAAAGAGACCTTTTATCCTCGCCCGCTCTCCCTCGGGGAACACTATACATTTGTTTCGAATAATTTACTTTAAGATTTCAAAAGGCTAATTGATTTTTAAGTGCTAACGCAGTGGGGGGAGAGGCACAGTGCCATACGCTAACAGGAAGCAATTGCCAATCGAAAGGTTACCTGGATTTGATAGCAATCGAGAGTTTTATTTGGTGGGAATGACGATGGGCATTTGCTTTGGGCAGCTCGAGGGACCGATTATATAGAGGCAGTTAAGTCAACTTTTTATGACTAAAGCAGATTGAAATGTCAAGCCGACTGACCAATGAGCCATGATAGCACCATATGATATTATATTGTGTTGAACTGGATTCAGTGTCTTTATTCCTGTAACTAATTCTTTTTGACACATGCACAACCCGGTGAGATGAAGGTCTGCATTCAACTCTCCTCATCCCCTTCCCCCTAACTCCCCCCCCTCCCATCACCTCACCCCCCCCACCCCCCCCCTCCCCCCACCTTAAAAAAGAAACAGAGCTCAGTTTGGGCTTGGACTCATTCAGAGCCGGATCTTTGTTCAGTTCATTAGAAGTAACGAGTGTGACATAAGGTAAATCTACGGTGAGGCGCCTTTATTTCTGTCTATAGGGCGACCTCATTAAATATCGCTAACAAGGCGTGCAAATCTCCTGATTGGACAGTCTTCCTATAACGTCCAGTCCCTTTGCAGGATGTCCACTTAATGAAGGCTACAATAAAATGACTGACAAGCAACGCCGAGCTCTCCTGCTAATCGAGTCGGACGGTTTTCAGCCTTAACACTCGATACCTGTCGCCCCTGTGTCCCCCCAACGAAAACTTGCCAACAAAACACCTCTCCAAAAAAAAAAATCATGCGATGAATGTGGTGGCGCCCGGTCAGAGACTGTGGGGGCGTTTTTAAAGGGGTTTTCCCATTCGATTTGCTCGAAAGAGCAACTGGAACCGGTTCCTCCACATGGCTCGGTTTTTGTCGGGTTCATTCCCGAAGTGTTGAGAAACTCTGGAGTTTTTTTGATTCACTGACATAAATGGTCAAATATTGCCACATACCCCACCCCACCCCACCCATCCCAACACAGTTGGCTTAAACAAGCTACTCTGCTTGTTTAAGAGGGGGGGGGGGGTAGGGGGGGGGTGGGGGGAAACAAAAAAAAGTTTTGCAAAACATGTTGTCCATCTCTCCCAACCTGTTTGTGCAAGTGCCGTGACTTGAATCGTACTTAACCACGAAGGTGACAAACTTGGAAGAATTTTTAAAAAAAGCCTTTATATATATATATAAAAAAAGGGGACACTGAACAAAACACATCATCGCTACGGTCGAGGACATGTTCCTCGAGTGCACGTCGGTAAATCACGCGGAAAAGTCCAATCACATTTGTGATTGATCGCTGTGCTGAAATATAAACCCCCCACTCCCCCCTTTTTTTTGCATTCGCTTTCTTGAACTTTTGTGACGATATGTGTTCTCCAAAAGAGCGGCACTTTGTCACATCACTCAATACCACCGTTTGTCGGCGGAATCAATGCATGTGCCCAAGTTATCCATTACACATTCTAACGCCTCTCCGAATGGAAATAAGCCGCAAATCATAAAGTTACTGCAATAAATCGCTCCGACTGCTCGGCTTTGCTCGGAGTATTCATCGATTTATGTTGTGCCATCAGGACTCATGGGTTTTAACCTTTGCTTTCTTATACATGCAGAGAAAATATCCTCCCAGAGAAAACACGGGTATGTATGTGCCTGTTGGGTGTTTTGTGTGTGAGTGCTACCGCTCATGCGAGACAGACATTAATAAATAAAACGACGTGAGGATATCCTTTCCAGGTTCATTTTGCAGAGTTGTTACCTAATTGCGATTCTTGACATATTCCCCGTATTTTAAACCCTCGAGAAACTCGCAACAAGAAACAGAAACGCGGCTTTTCGCATCACTTTTTTTTTGGGGGGGGTGGGGGAGGGGGGGGGGGGGCAAAAGAAAGTTCACCGATTTTTTAAAAAAAGGTCATTCCCTTTTAATCGTCTTTCTCTCTGCGGGAAGGCCTTTTTGTAAAAAAAAATTAAAAAATGACTGTTTATCTTTCAAACCTGGGAGAGAGTGCGCGAAGAGGTCAGTCTTTTTTTTTGTGTGTGTGTGTGTGAAATTCATAACTGGGTCATTACAAAGAGAGAGAGAGAGAGAGAGAGACAGAGACAGACACTGTCGGCTCTAAGACACAAAAGTGAGTGTAAGGCATTATTGTACAGTTAAATAACACGCAGACAGTTAATCCGAACGAAGTCGATGCGGCTAATATGAATGAACCAAAGCAAAAGCCGATCAATATCCCAACAAAAAACAACAAATAAAATCGCACAAGTCAGACGAGTCTTAGCACCGAGGATTAAGGGCGAACTGTGTTGTTGGGGTTAGTTAGTGGATAAATCTGAACTATTTGGCAGTGAATATAACGCCAGGCGGGGACGTGGACCCAGTGGAGTTTGCGTTTAACCAGTCACCTTAAGGGGGGGGGGGGGAAGAAGGTCGGTTGCGGGAGGGGGAAAAAAAAGGGTAAAGGAAAACAGTGGCAGAGGATACGATACAAACTGAGAAATTTAACGACTCGTACCGAAAGCGACCGAACGTCAAAAAAAAAGGGGGGGAAGTGAGGGAGGGTCGAATCGCATTGGCTTCGAACCGTGCCAACAGTAGCCACATAACAACGTCTGACCCCCTCACCCCCACCCCCACACACATACACACACACACACAATAAATAGTGAAGGAGCCAATTCGCACCTTGCCAGGAGGGAACCTAACAATTCTCCGAAGGAACGCGTTGTATATGGGATCGGCGGAAGAGACGGGAAATGCGCACGTTCGTCTTCGAATAATATTGACCGTTCAGTGGTCTCTGATTAATGCCGCCCGACTGAACTATTTCATCTCTTGTCACAATTGCTGTTTCACTGATACACACACGTGGAGAGGCTCCCGATTTCAATGCGTCGCCCTGCAAACTGCAAGCGTCCCGATTGCTAACATTTCCACACCCTGTCCGGGCTATACACACACACACACACACCTTGTCCTCTCTCTCTCTCTCTCTCTCTCTCTTTCTCAAGGCGACTGTTCCATATTCACATTCCCCAAATGTGATGCAATTAACAATAAAACAAATGGCAAAGTAAAGAGAGAGAGGGGGAGAGAGCGAGAGAGAGAGAGAGAGAGAGGGAGAGAGAGGACAAGGGGATGAAGTGACTATGTAACACAACTAAAACAAGAGAGGAATCCTGTACCTTTTTAATCGGCTCTTTCGCTCTTTCTTTCGGATGTCTGTCTGTCTGTCTGTCTGTTCTCGGTTGAGCAACTTCATTCGGCGTTTGCTACTGATTTCGAAACTTTCCTATTGCTTTCTGGTGGGTGGGTGGGTGGGTGGGTGGGGGCTGGGGTGGGGGAAGAGGGAATAAAAAAAAAGGGAAGGCAGAGAGTCCTGTTTGCCGGACAGCGAGAGGTTCAGAGCTCTGAATGCAGCCGTTTTCATTGACGGGGTCCACTGGTTACAAACGGCAGCTGCCGTCATTAAAAAGCCATTTACACCCTGTCCTCCTCACACAAAGATTGGGCGAATAATTATGTCCTCGTAGCTTTAACTATGTGAATGTGCCTCGAAAAACGCTCGGGCAAATACACACACACACAGAGACACACACAGACACACACACACACACACACACACATGGATGGCTTCTCCTTTCACACTCAAATAAGATACACGTTCACCTTTTACGCTGTTGTTTTGCGGCGGAGCAACAATAGAATTTTTAATCACCTACCGTACCGTACAACACGATAACATGATCAGCCACAGGGGATGTTTCTTGGCTGTAGAGCGCACGGTAAATTGGATTTTGTGTGTGTGAGTGTGTGAGTGAGTGTGTGAGTGTGTGTGTGAGTGAATGTGTGTGTGTGTGTGTGTGTGCTGTACAATCCGGAAAATCCGAAGCTTCCTGTAGACCAGTGTGCCTGAAATATAAATAAATAAATAAATAACGAGGTAAATAAGTTACACTCACCCCACATGGTTGATCTACAGGGGTAGCATTAGTAGCATCTTAGAAATACTGTCTCAAAAACTTTTGTGTGTGTGTGTGACAATGTGTGTTGTGTGTGTGTGTGTGTGTGTGTCTGTGTGTGAAGCAATGAACGAACATTAAAGTGATTATAATGGTAGAGATTGTGTCGTTTTCGCCTCTTCCCTTGTGTTTTCCCTGAATGAAACAATTTAGGGCATTTAAATGGGCGTCGATGATACTTTTTAATAGAAATCCAGAGCGAATGTATAACACGGCATTGCCCGTTTCCAGTTGAACAACCTCTGCGACTGGACCTATTCATGTGCCACTTGGAATTACTTCATGCGGAGCGCGCTATGACAGGAAGGCAAACAGTTTGGAGTCCACTGAAGAACCCATACCACCCATTAGTGTTATTATCTTTGTGCGAGGCAAATTCTCTGTTTCCCTTGTTTTTTTAATTGCAATTTTTTGTATTAAAAAAAATCTATCTATCTATCTATCTATCTATCTATCTATCTATCTATCTATCTATCTATCTATCTATCTATCTATCTATCTATCTATCTATCTATCTATCCATCTGTCTATCTAGTGGAGGTTCAGAGAGCAGAGCTCGCCTCATATAACTGTACACCTCGCCTGTTTTTTTCTCCCCCCTGTGCGATCCGCTTCGGAATGTGGAAGAGATTGTGGAAGAAGCAGAAGAAGAAGAAGAAGAAGAAGAAGAAAAAAAAAAGTTTTGAATTCCTCAATGATTTTTTTTTGGAGAAAGGCGGCTTAGGATAATTATTTCAGCTTTATTGAGGGCAGATTAGTTGAAGTCTGGATGCTGCGATTGAATACGCGTTGTACAATCCGGTACAATGTCAGTATTGTTCGCTGCTGTGTGTGAACCCATTGAAAATATACACTTTTTAACACCGAGCAAAGTCCTGTCTAAATATACACAGTGAGGGCTGGAAAGACATCCATGACCCGTACAAATCTTTGTAAATCACACTTCCATAGTTACAGAAGCCAAACAAAAGAGAGGGGACTCGCCTCAAGATGCTGATTAAACCCTTACTTTTTTTTTCAAGAAAAAAAAGAAACAACATACCTCGTGGTTAAAAAAAAATTGTGTCGCATTGGTAGCGAACCCCCCCCCCCCCGCCCGCCCCCCCCCGTGTCAATGTCACTCTCAGCCGATGGCGAGAGTTGCCTTTGCTTTATATAATTGGAGAAAAAAAATAATTAACGAATCCGACAGTTTCATTAAAATATAAAAGTAAACTAAAAAAATCCCCTCTAATATATATAATACATATATAATATATATATAATAATATATATTATATGTGTATATATATATTATATGTGTATAAATAATAATATATATATCTGTCAATTGTCTGCGGTTGTGATCAGTGCATTGCCAAACAGCCGTGACTGACTACATGAAGTCCTTAACTCCGAGCTGTGAATGATTCGAGCTCTATACCATATCAATGTACAGTATTATTATGATTACTGCACGATCCAGTTAGGACTGGGCTTCGGGTCGGGCAGCCCACACTATTAATTTAAAAAAAATAAGAGTTTATTACTCTGTGGACAGCGCTGTGCTCCTCTTCCAGGGAGGGGAGATTAAGTCTTCCACAACAGTATGGTCGTGGCATAAGGATGGGTCTAATGATCTCATTCCCCCCTCCCCAACCCCCACCCCCCCCTTTTTTTTAAATTCCCCATCATTATTAGTGTTCAGACCCGCAGAATGAAGTGAAACTACGTGCGCATCATGTGTAAAATTGTCTCAAGGAGGGAGCCCTTTATTTCCGACGTTGCACTACAGAGTTGTCCCATTTAACTTGTTCTCCCCAACCCCGACCCCACCCCAACCCCCAACCCACCCACCTCCTCTCCCCTCCCCATCACCTCCCAGTCTTCGTTAAAATCGCATGCAATATTGCAACCCCCCCCTACCCCCCACCCCACCTCTCTCTCTCTCTCTCTCTCTCGCTCTCTCTTTCTCTCTCTCTAATTATTCATCCCCATTCAAACAAAAAAAAATGATGCCGGGGCCAGGGCTTTCAGGTTATTTTGAACTTTTTCGGGTAAAGTGGAGGGAGGGGAGAGAGAAGGAGGGGAGGAAAGAGAGAGAGAGAGAGATGGGGGTGGGTGGGTGGAGGGAGGGAGGGAGAGAGAGAGAGAGAGAGAGAGAGAGAGAGAGAGAGACAGAGAGAGGGAGAGGTGGGTGTTGTGTTGAGATTTATTCCAGATAACCCCTATCCGGGGGACCGGAGTGGTGAAAGCCTTTACGTTGTGCCGGTGGATTGGCACAGCTGACAGTGATTGACGGCGAGTCCATGGTAACGCCACCGCCACACCGTCGAGACCAATAGAAAAAGCGATGAAAAAAAAATACAGCTCTCCACACAGTTATTTTTTTTTTGGGAGGTGGGGGGGGGAGGGGGAGGGGGAGGGGGGGGGGGATATAATATGAGGCAGTGGGTGACATGAGTCGATTTCGTTGCATCTGACACGTTTTTGTGTGTGTGCGTGTGTATGTGCGTGTATGTGTATGTGTATGTGCACGCGTGTGAGTGTGTGCGCGTGTGTGTGTGTGTGTGTGTGTGTGTGTGTGTGCGCGTAAGTAAGTCAGTCAGTCAGTGAGTGAGTGAGTGAGTGAGTGAGTGAGTGTGTGCGTGTTGGGATTTTTTTTTTCTTCTTCTTCTTCTTCTTCTTCTTCTTCCCCTGGTGCGGATCATCCCGGGATAAGTCCATGGTGTTCCGCTCCCAACTGGAGCTGTACAGCGCCGCCCTGCCCTTCCTGCCCAACTCGGCCGATCGCGCATTCCTCCTGCTGGCCAGCTCCCGGCCCCAGGAAGAGCCGTCAATGTTCCAGCTACCGACCATCAACTTCACCCCGGAGCAAGTGGCCAGCGTGTGCGAGACGCTGGAGGAGACGGGGGACATCGAGCGCTTGGGCCGCTTCCTCTGGTCCTTACCCGTGGCGCCGGGCGCCTGCGAGGCCATCAACAAGCACGAGTCCATCCTCCGAGCCCGAGCCGTGGTGGCTTTCCACACGGGCAACTTCCGCGACCTGTACCACATCCTGGAGAACCACAAGTTCACCAAGGAGTCGCACGGCAAACTGCAGGCGATGTGGCTGGAAGCCCACTACCAGGAGGCCGAGAAGTTGCGCGGACGTCCCCTGGGGCCGGTCGACAAGTACCGGGTCCGCAAGAAGTTCCCGCTGCCCCGCACCATCTGGGACGGCGAGCAGAAGACGCACTGTTTCAAGGAGAGGACGCGCAGTTTGCTGCGGGAGTGGTACTTGCAGGACCCCTACCCCAACCCGTCCAAGAAAAGGGAACTGGCCCAAGCCACCGGCCTGACCCCCACCCAAGTGGGCAATTGGTTTAAAAACCGCAGGCAGAGAGACAGGGCAGCAGCCGCCAAAAACAGGTCAGTCACTTTTCTTTTTTTTTCTCTCTCTCTCTCTCTCTCTCTCTCTCTCTCCCTCTCTCTCTCTCTCTCTCTCTCGTTGCGTGTTGTGTGTGTGTGTGTGTCTCTCTCTCGCGTGTGTGTTGTTTTCTTCCCTCTATCCCACCACTCGAGGTTTGTTTCTTCTTTCCACGCCACCACTCACTCACTCACTCACTCACTCACTCACTCACTCACTCACCCACTCCCTCCCCGTTTCAGGCGGTTCAATCGTTGAGCACTTTCTTAAAACAATGTTCCAGACCCCCCTCACCCCCCACCACCCCCCACCACCCCCAACCCCCCAACCGCACAGACGCCTCTCTGCTCTCATCCGTACGAGTTCGGCGTGAAGTCAGTAAAGCAAAGCCCCAACACAAATAAAATAAAATAAAGGGGTAACGGTGATAACGACACGAACGATGACACGAAAGGTGGTGGGAATGCATTTTCCAAGTTGGTAAAGTTTGCAATCAACACACATTTTCGTCTTGTTGATAATTGGAGTGGAATTGTATCACCACCACCACCACCACCACCACACACCACACACGCATTAAATTTTTTTTGGGGGGAAAAGTGAAACTTTTTTTTAAAAAAAACAGTCCATTGAATAGAAAGCAATGGTCCGACATTGAGCAGAGATAAGTATGAGTTCGCGAGTAAACAATACAATGTGCACAGCTGTAAAAGAGGGTTTGCAGATAAACCAAGTGGAAAGTCTCGGGTTTTAATAGCCGAGTGCAACTACGGACAGCAATTGGCAATTTTACCAAACAATAAATGCAATAGGCTCCCGAGTTCGTGGTGGGAAATATTAACAGATCGAAGGGAGCAATGTTGTTAAAGTCAGGCTGTTAATACCTTCTAATAGTTACTCTAAACAGCTGAAGGAGACGTTACTTCTCTGCGGTGAAATATAACGTGGTTTTTAATAGTTGGAGAAAATCCAACACAAATAATTGCTGTGTTTAGAAAGCAGAAACATATTTTAAGCGTCTGACTGATGCCAATATTGTCGCTCGCCACGAACGTTAAATGGTCGCCCGATTCCTTATACTTTTACTTTGACACAGTAATTTAATTAACGTTGGGGGAACAAGACGAAACTACCGTGTAATGGGGATTTTTTTTTCGACGTCTGAGGAGCAGGCGATAATTTCGACTGAAGTCAGTTGGACACAGAGGCAGATTGTGTGGCCTCGGCTAAAGCAAAAAAAGGATTCTGAAACACATTACGGTGCAATATATTGAGTGAGAATCAGGCGGACGGTGCATTTGTGCAGTTCGACTTATCATAACATTGCTGCATGTGTTTAAAATATATTCTTCACTGAATGGCAATGATAATAGAGCAGAGAGTATGTGGTGTGTGGCGTTTGGTAACTCACACCGGGCTCTCCCAGTTTTGACTGTTGACAGTCACAACACTTAACGATAATTCCTATTTTCCATGTCCTCCCACCACCCCCCCCCCCCCCCCCAAAAAAAAAAAGTTACTAGAAAATCACTCGCGTTTAAATGTAGTTCAAGGCAGAAAAAGAGGACTTGGCGGGTATTCAAACCAACACAATACACTTGCTTGCTCTGGAAGCGATGGCAATGTCTCTTCATCCAAAATAAACACGTTGGATTTGCCTTGCTAACCTCCACAGACCTTCTAAAACATTTCTAGGCTGGCATTAGAAATATTAACACTGCTCCACTGTAGCTTATAGCCCAAATCAACAGCGGATCGGAGCATAATCCTGAAACAACCTTCGCCCAAATGGCTTTGAGTGCTTTTTTTTAAAAAAAATTACACCTCGACAGAGAAACACATCGAGAACTTTTTCATTTGTTTTAAGGTTTGCAAAAGGCGTGCGTTAAAAAAAAAATGCTTCGGGGGTGGGGGGAGCAGCGATGCTTCAAAGTCCGCGTTACATTTCCAAGTCACAAGAAGGGAGTTTTTCACTCGACCCCTTCGCTGCAGCGTTTGGAAAACAGCTCTCGAAATTAACGCGAACAAACCGCGATGCAAAACAAATTAAAAAAAAAAAAATGCCGCGGTGCCCAACATTTACATTCAGCACCAAGTCATTGCGTTCGAGAAGCGAACAGGGGAGGGGGGGGGGGGGGGGGGTAAAAAAAAGAAAAGAAAAACTCGTCGCGTTGTGCGTGTTCAGATTTATCCAAACACAACCGTGTCAGTGCGTGGCCTGTGTGGTGTCTCTCTCACACACACACACACACACACGGCTTTAAAATAACTTTGCCACTGTGTTCTTTCTTCTCTTTATTTTTTTGTGGTGGTGGTGGTGATGGTGGTGGTGGTGTGTTCTTTCAAGCTTTTTTTTTGGGTGGGGAGGGGGTGGGTGGTGGGTGGGTGTGAGAGGGAACATTCGTTGCTTACGCTCTTTATTTATTATTTTCTCTCTCTCTCTCTCTCTCCCTCTCTCTCTGTGTGTGTGTGTGTGTGTGTGTCCCGGCTTAGGCTGCAGCATCAGGCGGTAGGGCAGAGCGGGGTGTGCTCACTGTCGGAGCCGGGTTGCCCTGCTCACAGCTCGGCAGAGTCGCCGTCCACAGCCGCCAGTCCCACCACCAGCGTATCGAGCCTGACCGAGAGAGCCGAGACAGCCACGTCCATCCTATCGGTAACCTCTAGCGACAGTGAATGTGATGTATGATATCTATATATATATATATATATAAACACACGCACACACACACACACACACATACATCAATATATATATATATTATATATATATATATCACACACACACACACACCCACACAACAAAAAAAAACTCTTAAAACGTTCACAACGGGAAATGGACCTGAAAACTAAAGACGTTTATGGATAATGAAAAAGAGGAAAGGAAAACAAAACAAAACAAAACAAAAAACATTGGAGAAGAGGAGGAAAAAAAAACAAACCACCCCCACCCCCCCACACACACACGCACGCGAAAGTGACTGTTCAAAACGAACAAGCAAAGCAAGCTAGGAACAAGCACGTCTTTATTCCAACGCTTTCCATGGAGGGACCCGACTTGCATGATGTATTTTGTATCTGGGGAAATAATACTCCACGTTAATATTTTTTACAAGGAACTGCAACGAAGAGGGAAATGACACCATCTTCGTCGCATTTGTTGCTCTCTCGATAGTCCCGAAACCAAGCTGCAATCGTTTTTTTCTCTCTCTCTCTCTCTCTCTCTTTCTCTCTTCCTCTCTTTCTCTTCCTCTCTCTCTCTCTCTCTCTCTCTCTCTGTTTTCGCAGACAATCATTTTTCGTGAGCACCTTTTGTTTTTCTACACTTCTGTTACTGCCTGTGTGGGTACTGGTTATGTGAAAGAATAGTTATGAGACTGTAACAGATTTTTATTTTTTATTTCAAATTTTTATATGAATTATGTATATCTAAAGTAATGACGCGATCATTCTCCCAGTTTGTAATATATGTGTAGAAATGCCTGTATATATAATGATATTGCTCTTTTTTTCTCCTCTTGCCCCCCACCCCCCCCCCCACACCCCTTTTCTTCCTTTCTATCAAGCTATCTATCTATTTATCTCTTTATCTATCTACCCCTCTACCACAGACTATGTGTTCTTGCATATTGTGTCAAACGTCTGACAAAAGTGCTAGGTTCTTTAAGAAAAAAAATGGGAGAGTGGGAGGGAAGGAGGGAGGGAGGGAAGGAGGGAGGGGGGAGATATCCAGTTTAGACAAATCTGGTTCGGTATCGTTTTATGCAAAGTGCTATTTTGAGTATCTTCAGCAATTATGAAGCTCTATTATCTCCCGAGTTCGTGTAGGGCGCTTATTTGTCAATGTTTTCTTCGACTGCGTGTTTATCTATATGTAAAAAAAAACAACAAACCTTTCTAAATCAAAATATAGTATTCCGTTTTCTTATACCAGCTGGCTTATTGTGTCTTTCTCTACAAAGTTATTTCCAATTACTCCACATGCTTCTTTATATATATATATATGTATATATCATATATATATATATATATATTACACATTTCACACTGAAACTTCATCCGGCAAAAGCCGAGGTTCAACAGAAAATATTCGTGTTGTTAAAAAAAAAGCGGATACTTGCGATCTCATCTTTTTTAAGTGTGGATTTTAAATATATTGTATGCAATTTACACGCGTTAACCGAACATTTGAGAGAGGGGGGAAAAAAAAACAAGCACTTTAGTCGGAGCTTTCCATTGCCCACAAAAAGCAACACTTTGGGGCGTCGGTTGTTAAGATGATCGCGTTCCGAGTGTTATCATCGTAAAAGCAAGTTTTTTTTTTAAAAAAAGAGAGAGACAAATTGTACCAAAATGGGGTTTGAGACACTAACTTCCCCCTTATTTATGGCGGCAAATGAAAACAGTAAATACGGGGAGCGCCATTTAATCAGCTAATCATATTACAGCGCCTCCCCATGAATCCTAAGTTCATTGTGAAGTGTTGAAAGAAGCTTTTATTTGCACGACTAACAGTGCACCGCCAGCACCTTTGCACTAACGTCGTCCGTTGCCCCTCGGGCTGCTAATTCAGGCGTGAATTTAAAAAAATAGAACTGAGCCCTGAACTTGTTTTCACTTGTGAAGTTTTTTTTTGTTTGGTGGTGAAATCTATCCCTTATTCGCTTTGCTAAACGATTGAGAAATTCCGCGGCGAGTTCTCTCTCTCTCCCCCCCCCCCCCCCCCCCCCCCCCCCCTCTCTCTCTCTCTCTCTCTCTCTCCCTTTCTCTCTCTCTTCCTCCCCCCCCCCCCCACTCCCCCCACCCCGACTTGGAGGGGAGAATTTAGTTCACTGACTGCAGGAAACCCTATCGGGGCGACCCAGATGGCAATTCAACACAGTTTTCCTTGAGATATTAATTATTGATCAAGGATCAGTACGTAGTTTTGCTTGACGTTGGTGGAGGTGGTGGGGTGGAGTGGGGGGAGTGATAAAGTTAGCAACCAAATATAAAGGGGGGGGGGGGAATAAAAAAATACGCTGATATAGAGACGCAGCCAGGACATCATTGGGGAGGTTTCAAACCAAGGAGCCTTTCAAACTTTCCAAGCGTGTGATCATCTTTAGTGGTGAGCTCCAGTCTGACCACCTTTCCTTGTGACCCCTCACAGTAACTGCGATGGGGTTTTCTGTTTGCGCCCCATGGACACAATTATTATTCCCGGGAGGAAGAAGAAGAAAAAAAAAGAGAGAGAGATAAAAGCCATGTGTTAGTTTGGAACGAGGATGGATTTCACTTTCTTGTATAAAGTTTTCCTTTTGTTAAAAAAAAACAACCACCCCCCCCCCATCACCCACCCCACAAAATCCACAGCCCCACTGATGATTAATTATCAACCGCTTTTGGGGTTATTTCTGGAGTCTGTGTGATTGATCTGAACTATAAAATATAAGTACTTATATATATATAATATATATGCTGTAAAGTGTTGTCATTCTGATAAGAAATTGGAAGCCGCCCTTTCTGACAGTCTTTCCCACAAATCGGTTCTTCTTTCCAGACATTTATTTAAACAGCCAAAAAAAGTGAGAATCGAAACCACAACAACGGTGACATAAGACCTATTTTTTTTAAAAAACAAATAATGAGTTCCGATTTATTAAACAATAAAAAGTCACATTTGTTTAAAAACAAAAAAAAAGCTTCAGATGTGTCTGTATCGCTTTAGTTGTGTGTTTGTTGACGTTTCCCCCCCCACAAACTTTATATTATATTGAAAGAAGCAGTTTCAATCTCCCTCGTTCATCGCAGGAATGTTTTAATTGTTCTTCTGTCTTAATGTCTTTATTTACTAGAGATCATTTCCAAGTTAAGTGCTGTAAGGTGGGGTGCAGCACGTCTATAGTGTTTCGAATCGCTTTTATTCTGTAATAACTTAGATTGCTGCTTGAAAAAAGGTGACGATTCTAACACATCTGCAGTTGTGACGAACATTAATGGGATGAACGTTTTCAAAATCTATGGGGGGAACGGGGTGAGGGTGGGGTGGGGGGGGGGGGTTTGGGGGTAAATACACCTGTGTCGGTTGAGTTTCAAGCGTCTGGAAGTTATGATTTTATCTTTGCCAAATTGAATTGATTGATACCGTGTCTGTCTGTGTGTCTCTGTCTGTGTGCGCGTGTGTCTGCGTTAAAAAATAGCATTTTTTTTTTACCCTCCCCCCTCCCCCTCCCCCCTCCCCCCCCTCCCCACCCCAAGAAAAAAAAACCGACACGAAAGTGACTTGCTTTGGAATCCTACAGTTAAACGTGGGCGATTTATTTATTTATGTGTGTGTGTGTTTTTTTTTGGTGGGGCTTCTGCGTTGCTGCAAACACTCTACTACCGCGCGTCGATCAGGGGGGAGAGGGCTGAAAAGAGAGGGAGGAGGAGGGAAAGGCATAGAGAGAGAGAGAGAGAGAGTGTGTGTGTGTGTGTGTGTGTGTGTGAGTGAAGAGTGGACTCGGGACTGCAGGAAGGAAGCAACATGAGAGCCCGAGCATGCGTGCTCTCAGCGTGTTCATTTCAAAGAGTGAGCTGAGTCTGGCTGCCAGAACAAATCGTGTCAGGCAAAGCAAGATAACGCAGACTTATTAGTGAAATCTCCTTGAAATAATGCTCTGCATTTAAAAGAGGGGGGTGGGGGTGGGTGGGAGGGGGAAAGGAGAAAGGGGAGGAAAGGAAGGGAGGGAGGGAAGGGGAAAAAAAATACTTGCAACCTATGCCTTGCCCTTTTTTTTTTAACCCCCAATCGCCCCCCCCCCCCTCCCCCCCAAAAAAATACAACAATAAAACGATTTGGTTTTGTTAGAAATGGAACACCTTTTTTTTTCTCTCTCTCTCTTGTGAGGACCGTGGCTTTGGCTTTGGCTTTGCCAAACACACGCACACACGCACTCACACACACTCACACACACAGAGAGAGAGAGAGAAAAAAAAAATTCACATTTTGATCAAGTAAAACTCTTCCCGATTTAGGATTTCGTTTCGTTCGCGGGCAGTAGATTGAGTCGTAAATCTATGAAAATCTATGAAAATCTGAATTTTAAGCCTTCTCGCCAGTTAAACCCATCTGCCCCGGTAAGATATGGCCTATCACAAGCACCAACCAGGGGCAGCTTACCCCAGCTTCCCATTACCGATGATTATCGATGGGTCTTCTTCAGCACCTCCATTAGTTTATTATCCTTGACAAGCCTAGCTGTTGATTAAGATGAAATTAATCTAAAGCCGATGAGCGTTTATTCATCAATGCTCAAGCCTTCGGCGTGAGATACAAGTCAAACAGATGGCATGGACTGGATTTGACTTTGATATTCCACTCGGTGCTAATATGCCAAATGTACCACAGGAGAAGCAGAGCGCGGGCACTACAGCTGCTGCCTCTCTATCTGTATCCAAGTACATTTTTTTTTATTTCTCTCTCCAGCCCCGTGAAACCCTGAGATATGAGAGGTGGTTTAACGTGGATCTTTTCAAGACGTGCAACGGGGTCTCTTTACCCTCAGTGTGTGTGTGTGTGTGTGTGTGTCTCCACGTTAGTTTGGCCTCGGTCTTGTTTACGCTCGTCCAACATAGTTGGAAACACACACACACACACACACACACAGAGAGAGAGAGAGATAAGTACAAATCACCGCAATATCTCACGCGAAGCCAATTGAGTTGCGCCTAATTTTTTTTTTGTAACTGA